CGGATCATACCAGCCTGCACACTTGAACAGCGGCCACAGGCATGCCCGTGGTCTCGTGCACGGGTATCGGATGTCCTTATGGTACGAACACTTCATGAGCCACCGCCCACACTTGCATCATACAGCTCTTGAGCCTGAAAGCATCGAATGTGTGAGGACGGTGAAGCAAATTTCAGAGAATTTATGGGAGAAATTTGTAGGAGATGAAGTTTTGGATCTCCCTGGCCATTTGCTCCCATTCCCTGTTCAGGTCTCAGAAGCCGGAGAGTTGTCGGAGATTACTGAGGATGGACATTTTCCTGATACTAATGCCAATATTAAAGGTGGGAGATCCTTGACTATTCCTTCTATTATAACCACCTGAGTGATTGTTTTGATGGTCCGATGTGTGTTTCCGTACTGTTCTTGTTTCTGTCTAATAAGAGCAACATATGGTGCTATATGTTGCAATGTTCCACGCTTGTAATAATGAAATGAGTATTTGGGATTTTTGATACATAACCTTTTAATTAGTTTTGAGCTTGGATGCTTAACCTGAAACTGGCCGAAATAGACATAGGACTTTCCTCTTGAGAGTGTGATGAGCGATTGATGAACCTTATCCATACAACGTGAATGGCCAAATTCTGTGACGATAATTCCCGTGGCTTCATTAGATGTAATGATTTCTACATAAAGAACGATTTGCGCATAAATTTACAGTAATTTTTATTGAAAATTTGGAATGTTGTGTTCACATTTTAATGATTCCATATAATGCCTCTGAGCTTATATAATCATATGTGCTACAATATAATTAGTGATTCGCAAGGATGCTACAATCAAACGACCACACAAATCAATTAGCCTTGATTATCAGCACAATTTGCTGTAAGTAGGCCATGATTGCAATGCTAACAATGATACAATAACAATTTTGAGTACTAGTCAGTAGCTCTGGCTAATTAAAAATGAGCAAAAAATATATATGCTCTTCATGTTTGATAAAGTACAGCAGTGCACTAACATGAATAATGAACTGCGGAAAGAAGCAAATCAAAAGTTCAATAAATAATTTGCTTACAATTTTATGACCCATGAGTTGTATGGGAGAAACTTTTGTGCTCATGAAAGACTTATCAGTGCCAACGCCAGCTTTCTGATATCCTTCAGGCTACAAAACGAACAATTCCAGATATCTGTAAGTGGCTTCTACATCTCTATACCTTATGATCAATCCATAAATTGGTTTTCCTTTTGATGGAAAGACAGTTGCAGAGAGAAAGAGGGAGCTCCTAGGACTTGGGCAATGGGTTCCCTGTCAAAAAAGATCGAAACAGCTGAAATGCTCTCTTTGGTTGGAATAGAGGGACCTCATGTCCTGCTCCTCTTACTGTCGCAAATGTAAGTCCTTCATAAACTTCAGTCCATCCTCCAACCTAATAAACGTGAAACAAGTACGTCTCATTGAGTGTTGTTACTACATTTATCGCATAGAATAGTAATGTAAGGAGTGAGTATAATTACCTGTCTATGGGAGTACCATGGATACCAAGGGACCTTGACCTTCAAATTGAGATGGCTGATTGAAAACCTCGTTGCAGTTACTGGAACAACAGAGTCCGTGTCTCCACTATTTGACGAAAAACATCGAGATATCAGGAATTAGTTTAATAAGCATGATTTCTAGTTTCTAATGAAATCTTAATATTACTATTTACCGCAACAATTTTATGGATCCATGCATTACCCTTTATCTTAGCAATGCTATATTTTCCTTTTTCTCTATGGTGGTGAATTTCCGATAAATGCAGTACTCATGAATGACATGTGATTGAGGAATCATATTTTTCTTCAAGGAAGTATATAAGCTGGGTGATTATAGACAAACCGCACAAATTGGTACTAGGAACCATATGAAAGCAAGCATCTGTACATTCTGTTTTGTAACATGTCCATCTCTCTCTCTCTCTCTCTCTCTCTCTCTCTCTCTCTCTCTCTCTCTCTCTCTCTCTCTCTCTCTCACAAAATTCATAATCAGTATTCTTTAACATGTTCATCCATTTTCAGAAAGACCTAAACTAGTTATGTTCATTCTTTTTAGTGTTAATTGCAGATAGAACCCCTGTACTATCACCCAATTGCAGACAGACCCCTTGCAGTTCTCCTAGTGCCGAACTGCCGATAGCTTCCTTGGGCTATTTTCCAAGCTCAAATAGATCACCCTGAGTGGACAAATTTTTGTCGCTTAGAAGTGTCAAATTTTTTTGACCCGGGGAGGTCTATCCACATCAAGAGAACTGCAGGGGGTCCATCCGCAATTGGGCTATATTAAAGGGGGTTTATATGTGATTAATCCTTCTTTTTTTAACATTCTAACATCCTCAATTTATTTGTTTATTTATTTATTTATTTTTGTTATACTAATATAAACTATCGTACATATTGAAATAAACTTGAGACGGCCTACAATATGATCTTACCTGAAAACCCATATTCTTAGCCCTGCTGCAATCAACTCCTTGTACGTAGGCAGCATAGAAAACTGCGAATCCGTCCACTCCTTGATCAGCACGTCACTACCCGAAAATAAAAACAAGTCATCAACTCATCCAGAAACATACTCCTTCACGTCACGAAAGAGAAGCAGAAAATAAACAGACCTGCACGCAGTCCATCTATAAGGAATCCCGGTCAAATTTGCATGCATTGCCCTCTGAACCTCTGGCCGATTGTAATACTTCTCAGCATAATTCTCAGTGCATGGATCATATCCATACCGTCTTCTTCGAAGTAGAGTATTCTTGAACCTGAACGGAGATGTCGAGTTGGAAGACGAAGAGGCAGTGGCAGCAGGGCACGAGGGAGTATAGATGCTGTACTGATCGATGTCGCCGAACTCATGGTTCATGGCATAGTTCATTGCATGGTCGCACTCATGAGAAGTGTTTGAGGAGGTGAAGTTGCAACTGGAGATTATTGATCGATAGGTTCGATCTGAGATCATGGAGTGTGTCCACCAGTAGGAGACTGTGCCAAGGCTGTCGTAGTAGTTGTCTGTGACTGCGTTGCCTACCTGGAAAAAGGCAGGACAAAGGAATTGGTGAATCAAACCAAAACAGAAGCAGTGCAATGATGAGTGATTCTGTACGTAAAGAAACTTCTTGCAAAGAAGTTAATGCGCAACCCTTTGGAACATTTGATCACACATATTAAAATTTCCAGAAACTTCTGTGCTTTACAGTCTAATGCAGCATAAGACCCTGCTAACTAAGGCTGCCTCTCAATGTTTTCTGCTAGCTGAAGCATGAATGCCAACGCTATGTATCAGTAACATGGATGAGAGACAAAGGATAACAAATTTTAAAAAAAATCTTGGCTGCATATATTGGATGATACGCACGTACATCGAGAACATGATAAATTAGTGATGCCAATCTTTCTCAAACAGAAGAGGAAGACGAATGCTGAAGAAAGTTTGATAAAACACCAAATCTCATCTCACCAACATCCACATTCTTAGAATTTCCGGCCTCAAGCCCTTGTTATATGTAGTATAGAAAATCATTTCTTTATTGAACGGTAGAGAAAACCTTTCCAAACTGATATACACCCCCGAAAATTCTAGGGTTCTTGGAGATAATCCCTGAAACTTTGAAAATTTGAGAAAACCCCCCCTCAACTGTGGGGTGTCTCACAAAGTTCCCCTTGATCTTTACACTCTCCGTCAAAAATATCCTCCGACCTTGTTACTTCAAAATTTGAAGTGACCTAAATATCCTTTTGGGAGGGAAAAAAAAAGAAGCTCAGTTCAGTTCAAATAAACTTCTCATCCAGTTTGTAATACCTAGTACGTGGTATTGCATTTAACCATTTAGCATTAAAGTAACTCCATGTAGATAGAATTCTAATTAGATAAACACAGATGTAAATGCATATACTGACAATGAATCCCTTGAGATTGATGGAGGGATTCGAAGAAGCTTTGTTGTGATCATGAATTTTCTTCGCCAGCTGAGGTACATAGTGCCCTGCAAATAAGCAAATTTATCACAACACGCCCCGAAAAGAAGATAAATAACAAAACTAATTAAATATGAGATCGTCCCTGATCATCATCATAAGGAATTTTTTTAAAATAGACCGATTCCATTTTGCTAAATATTTAGCAAAATCGATATTTTTTTGACCAACAGACCAAAAAGAGGTCGATTTAAAAAAAACAACTCCCAGAAAACATACGGGACTAGTAGTCTCGTATGTTTTTAGTGTGCTAATCAGGAAGTAGTGCTCTCAGAAAACATACGGGACTACTAGTTCCGTATGTTTTCTAGGAGATTAGTGCCCTTGAAAACATACGAGACTAGTAGTCCCGTATGTTTTCAGTTAGGCGTTTTATAAAATCGGCCTCTTTTTGGCCTGTTGGCAAAAAAGAGATCGATTTTGCTAAATATTTAGCAAAATGGTCGATTTTGCTAAATATTTAGCAAAATCGGTCTATTTTGAATTTTTTTTTCCTCGTCATAAATTAGCAACAAGTTTCCATGTGAACTTCCTCATTACTCTTCAAGAGCTAGAACTTGTCACTCTAGGATCAATTTGTTTAACTAACCTGCATAGCTTTCTCCAGCAATGTAGAAATCTCTATGCTTGTACTGTGGGAATCTCTCCATCCATTGTATGAGAAATACAAGCGCATCTTGAGCTGCGTTAGGCAATCAATATGCATCGCAAAAACCAAAGTGTTACTTTGCAAAAATAAACCGATCTTTTTTTTTTCTTCCAAAATTAGTCATTATAATTAATTAATTAATTACATAAAAACAACAGAGAAATTGATAATTGTACCAGTGCGATCATCGCCGGAGGTCTTCAGATCGGAGCTAGTGTTTGTGTAAGAGAAACCCACACCAGCCGGTGATTCAAGAAACAGAAGGTTGGCCTCTGCACGATTTGTACAATATTTATTACCCTTTTTTTCCAAATAAAATTTGAAAAAACAAAGGAAGATTATGACGACTGAGGATAATGTGTAATTAAGCAATAATGTTGCGCTAATAAATTACCTCTATTCCATGAGAACTTGTTGAGATAGAGCGTGGAACCGGTTCTGTTGATCCGAAACGGCCCGACCTCTTCTGAAGCGCCGTAGGCCACCGAAGAGCAACCCGGACCTGATCGCAAAATTTTTTCATGTTTAAGACATCTTTGGGGCCAATAGCCCAATAGTCCGGCCCACTTCGTTAGAAAATGATAATTTATTATTATTATTATTATTATTATTTCTTCGCCAGCAAACGACAATCAAGAAAAACAAAAAGAAAAGATGAATATCAGCTGTGTTTACAATTTCCTAAGATATCATTCTCGAGGAAAAATTAAAGAGAAATAAAGTGTGTGTGACGCTGGAATTAATTTTATAAGATAGCGAATATTAGATATTCACGGTACCTTTTATTTAAATTATCCTATTACATATATATTATTGTTGTGCGCGGAAGCCACTTGTTGTGCATCAAGGAACCAAACCAAACACCGAGAGAGAAGACAACTCAAATCAAACAATAATGACACAAACTCAAACATAAAGTTTAACGTGATTCGACAAATTGCCTACGTCCACGTGACAAGAAGGGGAGGGGTTTTCACTATAGAGAAAGAGAGTACAAAATAGAGATTACAAGATCACTCAAACTAACCTCTCAAACAAAATCCTCAAATCTCTCACAAAACCCTCAAATAATATGCTCAGAAAATAACTCTCTTTTCTGTGCTCAAAACTCTCCTTCAAGCTACCCCAAAAGTGATCAATATGATCCAATAAATCCTAAACAAATCGTGTTCTTGTTTATATAAAACAAGAAACCCAAACAGTGCAGGAAACCGAAGCAGGTCCAGACCCGACTTGCGGTCAACCGCCGAACCCATCGCGGTCGATCGGATCCAACGACTGAAACCAAAAAAAATTAGTGCTCAAAACTCTCCTTCAAGCTACCCCAAAAGTGATCAATATGATCCAATAAATCCTAAACAAATCGTGTTCTTGTTTATATAAAACAAGAAACCCAAACAGTGCAGGAAACCGAAGCAGGTCCAGACCCGACTTGCGGTCAACCGCCGAACCCATCGCGGTCGATCGGATCCAACGACCGAAACCATAAAAAACTATAGGGTTTTGCCGGTCGACCGCCGCGCCACTTGCGGTCGACCGCAAAAAGTCTAGAGACTTTCCATGTGCTGTGCACGTTCGCGGTCGACCGCATCGCCCCTCGCGGTCAATTGTGCAACATCCAAAATGTTCCCTGCTTTAAAAAATCCGAACTTCGTCGCTGTGTCGCCAAATCTACAATTCCCCACCTCGGCAAAGTCTTCCCAAAACTGAGCGACACCAACCAAAATAAATGTCCCACTTGTTGCGTCCAGTACGAAGTAAAACAAAATCATAATAACGGACTCAATCCACAACAAGTCGAGACCCAAATGAGAATGCGGACACTTTCCAAATGTTGGTATTTACCCATCAAATCGGCTGCATCATAAATGACTGCCTACGTATCCTTTTGCCAAAGAAATCAAGCATTCACGTAGTTCTCCAAATGACATCCAAAGGCCCTCAAACAAATAGAAAAGTTCTCTACTCTTTACCAACAAATATGCGGCTGATAGCTCTCCAAATGGCCCCAAAGTCAAACAAATCAAACACCTCCACCCGAGGTGAACCAATGGCCGTATCCAAATCATATCCACCAGCTGCATTCCAATCAACCAACCCATCATCTGCACCTAAATCCAAGTGATCTCTAACTGTGTCACCTCAGCTGGAATTCCAAACGATGCAGTATGATCTGGAGTATGTGGAGTAATCTCTATCCAATATGAAGTAGCATCACTCTCCACTCACTGTGATACATCTAAGGTCTGTCCAAAATTCTCTACCTGCTGAGAGTCAATTAGCTCCCTTATCGAAGCCTCAACCGAAGTGACACTACCAGACCAAACATCCAATGGAGTTTTACCTCCAATCGTAGCAGTCGACAACCTATGACCAAGATGACCCGAATATGTCGAAGGCTCAACACCAGAATCAATGCTCGACATCAAACGTCGGTCCTCCTCTAGCAAGGAGCATCTCACCAAATCTGTCATCTCATCTCGTTGTTCCAAGATTTCTTGTCCACCAAAGTGTCTCAAATTACCGTAAGCTCGGCTCAAATGCAGAAAAAGATCCCTCTTGTACCTCCCACCAAAATCAGAATGAAGTACGCTCACCTTTCTGCCAATCTCATACTTCTTTAGTCTGTTGGAGATTACTAGGACTTTATCCAATCGGGATTTGGTTGCAACCCAAGCATGCCTAGAATAGCCACGAACAAAAGAAACTAAATATCTATTACCTCCCAATGATGCCTCCTTGGAAGGCCCCTAAATATCCACGTGAACTCCATCGAAAAGACCCTTCGTGCGGTGAATAGAGGTGCCAAACTTCACCTCGATCTTCTTGCTCATATCAAAGTGTTCAATGGACCTCAAATTGCAGGTCGATGCACCCTTTTTCAAATCAATACTAGAATGACCAAGCCTCAAATACCACAGTCTAGTCGAATCAATAGAAGTTGCCAGCTCTCCACCTGTCACCGTATTCCCAATCAAATAGTACAGGTTATTCTTCTTGACGCCCTTCATCAAAATACGAGAGTCTTCCACAATCTCGAGAATCATGTCCTCGATACGAACTCTAAAACCCTCTCAAACCAAAGCTCCAATCGAGATTAAGTTCTTCCTCAAAGAAGGAACATATGTCACACTATGTAACTCTCTAACTATCTCGTCATACATCTTGATGCGAATTCTTCATATCCTAAGGATCTGATATGCACGGTTATCACCCATGTACACCACACCACTCTCCAGCTTCTCAAAACTAACGAACCACTATCCAACATCCACTCGGATTCCTCCGAATAGCAACCTGTGGGACTGATAGAAAGCAAATAAACAGATGAGTCAGAAAGATTACCATCTGATATAATGATGTTCGCTTCTGATGATGATTACTTCTCTTTTCCCTTCTGCTTATTGTTTGGTGGAAAATTTATAGTAAAAAGAATGAAAGAAATTTGATTTGTATTCTCTCGATCTTAATTACAATTTGAATTTTTGATTACAAAAGAGAGGATAATTGATCTGAATTCTCCCATTTGTTTAATTCTGGGTTCTTCACGGTGGCGATGGAGTGCCTCACTCGAATGCTCGCGTCGAGTTTGCTCTCCGTTGACGATCTGAACGTCTTGTGTCACTGGAACGTAGTCTTCTCCTCACGATTTGACGCTATGGAGAACTTGCAAAGAAATTTTGAAACTCTGAACGAGTTGATAACTCAGAGCAAGTTTGAAACTCTATGAAAGAGTTAATTTAACCGAAATCGGTTTGTAAGCCAAGGGAATGCTCTAAGAACTTTGTTGCTGCATGAAGCTCGAAGAGGATCTGCTGCCGAGAAGATGATCCAAAGAAGTCGATCTCTAGATCTCCAAGATACTCAAAGATCCAAAAAGCCTGGACTCAGTTGAGTTTACTCCTATTTATAGGAGACTAAGGGGTGTAACCGCCCCCTTAATTCGCTCCTAAGTGGGGCTGAATGAGGTGTAACCGCCCCCTTAAACAGCTCCCTAAATCATGGGAAAACGGTTTTGAAACCGTTCAGTTCGTGCTTTGAACGAGTCAAACGCTAAAAATAGCGTTCAGGGCCCGAACTCTGCATTTTAGACCAAAAAAGCAGAGTTGGGCCTATCTTGGTGGCTGAACGCATAGGTAGCGCTGCATTTTAAATCTGAAACACAGAGTTGGGACGAGAGATGAACTCTGTGTTTTGAACCTGAGGCGCAGAGTTGGGCTCTGCATGAACTCCGTGTTTTGGACCTGAGATGCAGAGTTGGGCTCTGCATGAACTCTACGTTCTGAGTCCATGAACTGTGCGTCTGGACTTGAATGCTGGGGATGACCTTTGCGTTTTGACTCTGGAACGCGAGCATGACCTCTGCGTTTTGATGTTGTAACATAGGGATGACCTCTGTGTTTTGATATAGTAACACAGGGATGACCTCTGTGTTTTGATGGTGTAACGTAGGGATGACCTCTGCGTTTTGATATGAAGAGACCATCAATTTGTGCTCTCTTTTGTTGGAACGTTGCAAAGACCGACATCTTGTAATCTTCATCTTGGCTCCTTGAAAATACGAGAGTCGTCAGATTGTAACTCCCGATGTTGATTGTGAAGGCTGCTGATTAGAGCTTTCATCAGTTATCGTAAAGGTCGTCAGATTGTAACCTTCATCGATCTACGTGAAAGCCTTTAAATTGTAACCTTCTGGAAGTCGTCAGATTGTAGCTTCCATCATCAGTGTTTGACGGGGGATAAGCTATCTACAGTGATTTTTAGACAGCCTACACTTATTCTTCATCCAATCACTGAGTTTTGAACAATCTTTCTTCCAATGACCAGTTTCTTTACACCAAGCACACTGATCTTTGTCAACTATAATATGCCCTACTCTAGACTGTTACTTCCCATTCTTCTGGTTTGGATTCTTCCCTCTTGCGATCAATGCCTCTGCTGTTGTGTCACTTGTAGACTCCTTATCTTTCTTTCGAAGCTGATAATTCACAAGTGTAGCAGTGACCTCACTATACGAAAGGGACGTCTTCCCATTAATTAGGGTAAGAACAAAGGTCTTATATTCCTTATCTGACAAGGAACTCAACAATAACAAAGCTTTGTCCTCATCCTCTATCATAACATCCACATTCACCAAATCCGTAAGAAGCTTCGTGTAGTGGTTTATGTGATCACCAATGGAGGTTCTCTTCTTCAATTGGAAGCGATAAAGCCTCCTCTTCAAATACAAGTGATTTTCCACACTCTTGGTCATATACTTGCTCTTAAGGGTCTCTCAAATCTTCTTAGTCAAAGTCTCATTCATCACATCATACTTTAAATCTTGAGTCAAACAAGACCTAATCACACCACACGGCGTTCTGTTCATCTTCTTCCAAACCTTCTCATCAATATCATCTGGCTTGCCATCCAATTCCAAAGTATCTTCTAAATTTTACGCGTTCAGCGCATCCAAAACCTCACATCTCCATAATCCAAAATTGTTCGTGACATTAAACTTCT